CGATAAATGGAAGGAAATAAATGGAAGTGGGGTTTTCCTTACCCTTCTGGGAGAGAGGAGGAGCTCAGCAGGAGCAGGTGGGAAGTCCTGGGTCACCACCGAGAACCTGCAGCCGCCTCCCAGGACAAAAGTGCCGGTGTGAAGTTGTTTAATGCTGAGAAAACGACTTATTTATGGCAGGGCTTTGAAGCCATTAAACTCCAGATGCTCGTCAGCTTCACAGAAGAGCGGAAGAAAGGCAGGAGGTGTTGCAGGTTTTCTGGAAAACACCTGGGGCAGGATTTCCCTGAAGTGAAAGGAGGAGGAGTGGGACCAGCTTGAAGAATGAACCAGATTTTCTCTTTCTTTTTTGGGATTCCCGTGTAGTGCCAGCCAAAGTGCTCCATGCAGAGTTCCTGTGTAGAGCAGGGCTGTCAGTAAGGAATTGGTGAGCAGAGATCAAACAGAATTTGGGGAAGGAAAACCAGGAGTGTTTTCATTCCTTTGAAAGAAACCAGAAAACAAACCAGAGGGATTATTCCTAAGAGTGTAGGCTTGACCTTCTCAAATAAATCCTTTAACTTAAAAAAACGAAGCAAATGAAACCAAAATAAATTAAAAAACCCAGGGAGTATCTGATGTCCCCCAAGCTGACTGAGCAACCATGACACCGACTTGTCTCTCCCTTCCTCCATGCTTTTGCTGAGTACAGGGCATGATTTTGGGGGAAATGATGTGAAAAGCCTTAATCTGCAAGAGTGCAAGGGTGTTTTGCAGCCTCAGCAGGCTGTGTGAGAGCTGATCTCTCCGTTTGCCATTGGGGATTCGCTAATTCCTGCGTCTCAGTTATAAAATTTTAGCGTCGTTTATGAAATGTCGTGTTTGTTTTCATGTTGGTGGTACAGAGTGCAGGGGAGCTTTTCCCGTTTGGTTTTCCACCCAGAATGACTCACTCTGGATATGAAAATATGAAGGCTGAATCCTGACAATCGGGATAATTAGCAAAGAAGCAAATTTTGTAAGAACGTCAAACCGATTGATCAATTTGAACACAAGATCCTCATATTTGGTGTTTTGGGTGCCATTGGCTGTTCCCACCCTATTTCAGAATGGTGGGATCATGGAATGGTTTGGGTTGGAAGGGATCTTAAAGCCCATCCAGTGCTGTCCCCTTTTTCTGGGACATCTCCCACTGTCCCAGGCTGCTCCAAGCTCCAATGTCCAACCTGGCCTTGGACACTTCAGGGATCCAGGGGCAGCCACAGCTGCTTTGGGCAACAGGGAAGAATTCCTTCCTTTTGTCTGATCTAAATCTAGCCAATTTCACTTAAAACTTTGCCCCTGCATTCCCCAAGGTCCCTTTCATGGTTGGACCCTCGGAGGGATCCTCTCATGAGCATGCATGAGGTCTCTCAAAATCTCCATATAATTTCTATTTTGCTTCCTTTCAAAATTATTTAAACCACCGAAGAAGCGAGACCCAGCGATTCTTTTATTTATTGCTGATCTGAGCAGGGTTTCAAATTAATGAGATGTGGGCTGAGTTGATAAAAATAGCCTCATGATTTAACATTCCAGAGAATAAATGCTCATCTCCAGGTTCAGTCTGTCTCAGTCGTGTCCGCTGCAGCATCTGAAGCAAAACCTCTCCAGTGGCAAAAAGGTTTAAAATAATTAAAATAATTCCAGGCTCTACCTGTGTAAGGGAGTTTTTTCCGTGGTGCTGCTGCTCCTCATGACTTTTTCTGGTGTGGAATTTTTACTTTGTGCTCAGCTTTAAGCACCCATTAACCTGGATTGTGTCCGTGGGATTTTTATGGGTCGAGTTATGGCTCGCTACAATCACACCACAGAGGCCTTCACTTCAACCCGCGTGGGTTTGAATTTGGTGTAGAATTTACGGGGTTTACGACCGATTCCTGTTGCTTTGCGGTGGTTTGAGTGGAATTTCCTCCTGTCTCTGGTGTTCCTCCCACCACCGTGTCAAGAGGCACCGGTCAGGGCTGGCAGGACCTCAGAGGAACCCCTGACGCACTCATGAAGCAGCTGCACTGTGTGATGAGAGGGACTTTATCCTCATGTTTTTTATAAGCACTTAAAATTACTTTACTTCTGGCCATCATCCAAGCCTTCTGGACTAAGCCACGGCTACCAGGAAATGTCTTGGCAGTCGCCGCCGTGTCATTAGGCTTTCCCTGCGCCTGAAAGTGCTCCGGTTTCGGGAGAAAAACGGGGATCCACATTCCTTTTCTGGAGTGGTGAATGCTCATCTCTAAAGCTAACCAGGAGCAGCTTTCCTTTCATCCCTGTGCCCGGATCCCTGCTCAAATCCAAGCCCCATTCAGGGATAGTGACACCTTCACCAGTCAAGGTGTTGGCCCACAAAGCCTGGCTTGTGTCAGGAATCCTTTAGGAATAATTTGAATATGGGAACGGCTTCCCAAGGTTTCAGTGTTTGTGGTGTTAGGTGTAAGTCACCTTCGAGTGGAAGGTTTCCTTCCAATGGTGTCGTCCGTTTTCTTGGGGTCTTGTCTCCTGATGGACTTTACTGTGCTCTATCAATCATATTCTGATCACAGTTTTCCATGGATTTTTTTTAAAAATTTTGATAGAAATAACATTTCATTGCTCCATCAAGAAAAGCTCGGTGTCTTAGGAAATCTGTTAAGCTGATCCATAAGGATTTACCTGAAATATTTTTTTCCACCCATTTTCCTCTGGTGATGACAAAATTGAGTTTCTTGGAAGGAGGAGGTTAGGGCTGATTGTTTTTCCACCAGAAATTTTCAGTTTGTCTCAATGTACCTCAACATCTCAGTCCCTTCCTCGCTGGCACCGTTTGAACTCCTGCTATTTTTGGATGGCTCTAATATTACAACCCAAGTTGTAAACAAGGTTGGACAGCAGCATCATCGGACTCGAGCAGCTTTTTAGGGAGGACTGGGAGTCTGAAGCTGATTTGGCTTTAGCTGTAGCCTCAGTAGGTTTGTGACAGTCTCACAACAACAATTCTGCTGTCCCTCAGACTGGAATATTCCAACCCTTCCCCAGCACTGCCAATCCCACCACAAAAGCATGTCCCCAGGGTCTGTTAGATCCCTTCAGGGATGGGGACTCCAGCACTTCTCTGTTCCACTGTCAACCCTTTTGGAGAAGAAATATTCCCTAAAATCCCATCTAAACCTCCCCAGGACAGCTTGAACCCAGCTCCTCTCATCCTGTGGCTTGGGAGAAAGACAGACCCCCCCACACCTGGCTGCAACCTCCTTTTTGTTTGGTCAAAATAACCCTCTTGACGAAATGGTTTGGGTTTCCGTGTCTCACATGGCATTCCATGATCTGGTGTCAGTCAGGAGCTGTGATTCCATCACTGTGCTTACAAAATCAGAATCTTTTTTTTTTTTTTTTGTTTATTTTCTTATTCCCTGCTGCTGGTCACCTCTTTCTGCTCTTTGCCCTGAGCACGAACAGATTTCCTTTGGGGAATCTGTTTTTAAGGGTTGAGGTTCTAATTCTCCTGTTTGAAAATATCTTAGGGATGTGCCATTTCTTTTCCACAAATGTGCAGCAGGCACAGACTGAAAATATCCCTGCACCTCCTGTCCTGGTCCTTCTGCACAGGTCTGTCTTCCCAGTGTGTGGTCCAGGGCCCTGCTGACTCCGTAAGCTGCTGCTTTGCTCGGTGCTTTACCACTGGACACCTTAAATAAATCACTTTTCTGTGATATTTGTGCTTGGGTTCTGATGGCTTTGCCTATTTCTGGACTCTGACTCCAGCTCTGGGCCCCTCCTGCCCAGAAAAGATCTGGAGGGGCTGGAGTATGTCCAGGGAATGGAACAGAGATGGGAAGGGGCTGGAGCACCAGGAGAGGCTGAGGGAGTTGGGAAAGGGGCTCAGCCTGGAGAAAAGGGGGATCAGGGGAATTTCTGGCTCTGCACAACTCCCTGCCAGGAGGGGACAGTTGGGGGGGATTTGGGATCTTATCCCAGGGACAGGAGGAGAGGGAGCAGCCTCAGGCTCAGGGTGGATATCAGCAGGAATTTCCTCATGGAAAGGGTGGCCAGGGCTTGGCAGGGGCTGCCCAAGGACTCCCTGTCCCTGGGGGTGTCCAAGGAAGGACTGGATGTGGCACAGGTGTGACTCGATGATCCTGGAGGTCTTTTCCATCCTCAGTGATCCTGGGGTTCTGTACTGGCGTCCTCATTCGTGTCCTGAGCTACTGAGGTCACAGGAGACTTTGTGTCACCCTCAGACCTCTTCTCTGAAATCTGGAACATGACATGTCAAAACCAAGCCCCAGCTTTGACCCTTCAAGGTGTGGGTGAGGGACATGGAACCTCAGGGCTGCAGGATCCCTGCGGACCTTTCCTCCATCAGGGATGTTGGTGGCTGGCTGCTGTGCTCTGTTGTGGATTTTCCCAAACCTTTAACCTAAAGTTCCTCTCCTGGCTCCTGGCAGAGTTATTTCCCTCTTGTAGACGCGTAGAGAAGATGTTGAGACGCTTGAGCACGTCCAGAGGAGGCAGCGAGGCTGGTGAAGGGTCTGGTGAAGCCCTGTGAGGAACGGCTGAGGGAGCTGGGGTTGATTATCCTGGAGAAAAGGAGACTCAGAGGTGACCTTGGCGCTCTCTAAACTCCCTGGAAGGAGCTTGGGGTCAGCTGGGGTCGGGCTCTTTCTCCAGAAAACAGCAAGAGGACACAGCCTCAAGCTGCACCAAGGAAATTTAGGTTGGATATTAGGAAAAACATACAGAAATTTACAGAAAGAGTGATAAAAGAGTGGAATTTTCTGTCTGGGGAGGTGGTGGAATCACCTCCCCTGGATGTGTTTAAAAAAGCCTGGATGTGGCACTGGGTGCCGTGGTTTGGTTGAGGGGTTGGGGCTGGGCTGGACTCGATCTTGGAGGTTTTTTCCAACCCAGAGATTCCGTGATTCCGTGATTCCGTGATCCACTGTCCCCAGGGGAGGTGATCTCTGTCCCTCGTGCTCACAGCCCGTGCTTTTTGTCCCCTCTGCCAGTGACTCTTGATGGAAGAACACGGAGTGACCCAGGCAGAGCACATGGCTACCATCGAGGCCCACGCCGTGGCCCAGCAGGTGCAGCAGGTGCACGTGGCCACCTACACGGAGCACAGCATGCTGAGCGCCGACGAGGACTCGCCCTCCTCGCCCGAGGACACCTCCTACGACGACTCCGACATCCTCAACTCCACGGCTGCCGACGAGGTCACCGCTCACCTGGCTGCTGCAGGTAAAGCCAGGGGGCTGCTCCATCATCATCATCACCATCATCATCATCACCATCATCATAACCTCCTGGTGATTCCTTGGAGTGGCTGCCTAGAGCAGAGGCTGATTAAGGGAATAAAATGGGTGTTTATTTTATCACCTGATCCTTTGAGTGGCTCCCTGGAGCAGAGGCTGATAAAGGGAATAAAATGGGTGTTTATTTTATCACCTGATGCTGTGAGAGGCTCCCTGGAGCAGAGGCTGATAAAGAGAATAAAATGGGTGTTTATTTTATCACCTGATGCTGTGAGAGGCTCCCTGGAGCAGAGGCTGGGCAGAGTTAAAGGAATAAAATTGGGATTTATTAAAGGTGGCACCTTGGGCAGTGCAAGAGCGTGGCCGAGGCTCCACCCAAGGTGGACTCTGAGTCAGGAATTTCACACTTTTATAACTTCTGGTCCATTTCCATATAGGGGTTAATTGTCCAATTACAGCTTCAGTTAATGAATCCCCATCATCCCAGACTGCTCCATCAATTTGCTGCTGGTTAAACTTTCTGTGCCCGAAGCTGCAGCAACTCCTTGGTTCTGGGTCTGGAACAGGATTGTTGTATCTGATAATTTGTTGTATCTTGAAAATCTGTTTGATGTGTCTGAGCTGCGAGGAGAACTCACTGACACTTTGTGAAGCTCAGAGTTACGCACTAAAGCAGCGCAGAATCTGGAAAATACAAAAGCCAAAGCTTAAGGCATCACACCTTGGGCAGTCAGAATCCCTCCAGAGGCTGCAGCCAGGATGGACGATGGTCACGAGTTTTGCACACACTTATAGGTTTGGTCCATTTACATATCAGGGGTTAATCCTCTAATTACAGCTTCAGGTGATGAAGTAATTTACTCCAAGTTTTCCCCCCCCAGTTCACTTTTGTTTACATCTCTCGGGGCCTGAGGCTGTGAGGTGTCCTTGAGTTTCAGGCCTAGAGAGGAATTGTTTTGTCTGGATAAAACAGGAGAACAGCAGCTGACAGGCTATGGAGTTTTAGAGTTGTACACTAAAGCAGTGCAGGATATGAAAAATATAAAAGCTAAATCCTAAGGCATCACTGGTCCATCCCACCCACAGGAATATTCCACAGGAATTATCCCTGCAGCTCTGCCGGCCGCTTGAATCCCGCATCATTTCTGTGGATCACAGAAGTGCTGGGAATTGCTGGTTTACAAAGCTCCCTGCCAAAACGTTGCCTCAGGTCACAAAATTAAAATACCAAATATGTCAAAGAGCAAAAATTAGTTCAGGCCCCACATAAACAACACTAAAAAATAACCTGGGAGTGCGGCCTTGCTGCGTTTAGGGAGCTCACGAGTTAGGCCTCTCCCAGGGAGATCCACGGAAGATCCTGACATTCCTGGACTTGGAAAGTACTTCAGAATCACAGATTCCACCCAGTGGAGCCAAAATGTCCTCCAGATTGGCAGAAAAATTATAATTGAGCATTGGGAGTCTGGCCTGACTCCGTATCAGGCTTTAAACCAAACCTGTGAGCTTCCACCAGCCCCTGAGCATCCCTTATGAATCTTCCAGCCTCCCATCCTGCAGGGATTTTTATTTTCCCTTCCCTTCTAGCACACAGGATTTTCAGGCCTGGATGGTCTTCAGAAGACTCTGGATTTTACATTTCTTTCCCATTAGAACAGGTCCTTAATACCTCAGGAAAGCCTCAGACTCCTGATGCTGCAGCTGAGGTGTCCGAGCAGGATTTGTGGAGCTGTACCTGTTTTCCTCTTCACAGCCACCAGGATTTCCTCAGATCAATCAAAATCTTGGGAGTTTTTCAGTATGTTTGGAAGATGAAAACCAGAATTCTGTAAACTTTAGGCTGAAGTATGTGACTTTCACCCTGGACTGAGCTGGGATTTGCCAGTCTGGGGAACGGAGATCAGAGCTCAGGGAGGGATTTGTGTCACTTTCCCTGCTGGGGACACCCTGGGCACCCATTCCTGGCTGGTGGGGACACGGTGACAACGTCCCTGCTGAGCTGATGGCACTGACAGACCCTCTGTGCTTTGATTTCCAGGCCCTGTGGGGATGGCAGCAGCTGCTGCCGTGGCAACGGGGAAGAAACGGAAGCGACCTCACGTTTTTGAGTCCAACCCCTCCATTCGGAAGAGGCAACAGACACGTTTGCTCAGGTGAGCGCTCACCTGTCCCTGCTGAAACTTTTTCATCTGTTTCTCTGATTCCGCTTGCAATTTTTGCTCCTTGATTTCTCAGCTCCTCTGAGCCGAGCTCTTTTGGGGTCCTCCCTCACGGGGAGTCCCGTTTATCTCAGTTCTCTGGGTCAGAAGAGAACTCCAGAGCTCGTTAGGATCTTGTTTCTCTAGTGTTAATTAGGATGTTCGCACAAAACTTGGCAGGTCTCTCCAGACTTTCTGCACAAGTTTAATTCATCTTGTCTCTTTGGCTCACTTTGGCTCTGATGGCACAAAATGGCCTTGAAATACACAGTTCTTTTATCTTTATACTTATTTTTATCCAATTAACAATAGACACGTTAATTATTTTTCTTAATGACCCAATGACCCATCACCTGTGTGCTGCACTGTGACGTTTTTATCCAATCACCTGCTGTTACCCAAAAACCTCTAAAAGAAGAAAAAGAAGAAGAAAGAAGGAAAAGAGACAACATTCTAAATCCTCCTATCTTGTTTTCTGCTTTTTAAACTATTTAAACTCTAACTTTTCCACTCAGTGACTTAAGAAAACTTTAATTTACACACTCACACTTTTAACTTTTCTATCTCACTTGAACAGTTGTTTTCATGTATCACCATGAAAACACGCCCATAAATTTCATGTTGTATGAAATTCAGTGTTCTTCTGGATCTCAGAGCCAGAGATCAAAGGATTTATCTGCCTCACAAAAAAAAGCCTTTTCTGCTTGATCAAACCATTCTGGGAACAAATTCAGTGGGTGTGTGTCCAAATTTCCTTTGCTGTTGGACAAACCCCACGCTGAAGACGCACAGTTTTAGGAAGAATAATCAAGGGGAGATTCTTGCCTGAGCTGAAACATTTTTATTTTGGCTTTTAAAAAGCTTCCTGTGGAGACACCAGAGCTCCACAGCTCTCCAGGTGTTGCATTCCAGGTGCTCTGAGGCTGTTTGCCCACCTGATGGCCCCCGAGCCACACCGGATCCGATGGGACTGCACAGCCCTGGAGACACCTCCAGAAATTCCACGCCAAAATTTGTGAATATTGGCTGTTACTGCTCCCTAGCTTTTGGAACAAAGCAGTTTTTGCTTTTTTGTGCTGTTTGGGATCTCATTGGGCAGCTAATGTTAAATTATTGGGCAGAGTTACTGGTAAATAATAAATCCTTGGGAGTGAACTCCCTGCTTTTTACAGCTCCATTCTGGTTTTCCCTCCTTCCCCAAGCTCTGCTGTGTTTATTGCAATGTTTCTGAGGAAAACATCCTTTTCTCCCTTGAAATAGGAACATGTTTTAATAGATGAAGATTAAATTATAATAGATATATTTGATATTATATCTATAATTATTATAAGTATAATATATAATATATAATGTATAATATATAATATATAGTATATAATTATAATTATATATAATACGTAAAATTATAATTATCTTATTATATACATAATAAAAATAAAAAATATAAAAATAGATAAATAGAAAAATATTAAAATACAAGATATTAAATATCAAATAGTAAATATATAATATATTAATGTTTACAATATTATATCTAATATTAAGATTGTCTATTAAGAATATAATGTATTATTATTAAGATTTTAATCTATATAATATATTATTAAGATTATATATTATATAATAGATTAATATTATATATTATTAATTATATTAAGAGTACATATTATATAGATATTATATATAATATTAATATTAATAAATTATATATTATATATTATATAGATATATTATATTATATTATATTATATTATATTATATTATATTATATTATATTATTTATTATTTTATATATATATCACACAATCTATTTTTAAAGAAACTGCTCAGTGAAGGAAAAATTTCTTCTCCTTTCTCTCAACTACTGAATTTTACTACATCAAGATAATGACAAAACATCTTTTTTTTTTTCCCTCTCTGTTCAGCTGCACACACGTTTGTGCTTGATTTTCACCCCACTGGGAATCAAATTTCAAACCCCTGGCTGTGGGATCAAAGCTGGAGGTGCTTTTTTGGCAACAAAAACTCATTTCAGTCATTTCTGAAATGACCAGGACAGGGACTGAGCTGTCACCTCATGGAATGCTCAGATTTTCTGAGGAAAACGCTACTTCTCTCTCTCTTTTGGAGTTTCTGCCACCATTTCTGACTCTTGCACTGCTTAAAAGGGAATAAGAGGCAGAAAATATCCAGTGGAATGTTTTAATTCCGAAGGGAGCTGCTGATGGGGCAGGTGTTGGGACACCTGGGTTTCCTGTGCTGAGCTGTTGCAATATTTCCAGCTCTTGCCTATCCTGTAGCTTGAATTCTTCCAGATCTGGTTTGAGGAGGACTTTGGTGCTGGAGACCAAAATAAATTGTCCAGGAGATGATCTGCTATGATCTGGATGTAAAACAGCCTCTGTCTGCAGGCCTCTTTTGATGAATCATTCAGCAAAACACAAGTTTTGTGTCGCTAGGACAGAGTGGAAGTGCAGACTCTTGCTACCCCAGCTTTGCTGCTCTGGTGATTTCTCTTTTTTCATCGATGAGAAAATGAGAGAAGGGAGAATAATTGACATTTGAGCTGCTGGGTGACTGCAGGGAGCACAGCAGGCCTGTGGAGAGGAGGAATAAACCCAACATGTGGCCAAGCTGAGCAGCTGGGGCTCTGTTTCTCACCTGCTTTGTGAAAGGGAGCTGGCACTCACAGGGGTTGTGTTTCTGCAGGGCTTTCAGCTCATTCCCTGTTTTTTCCGTGTTTCAGGAAGCTCCGGGCCACGCTGGATGAGTACACCACCAGAGTGGGGCAGCAGGCCATCGTCCTGTGCATCTCACCCTCCAAACCCAACCCTGTCTTCAAAGTATTCGGTGCTGCACCCTTGGAGAACGTGGTAGGTGTCCCTAGGAAAGCGAGGAAAGAAGTTCCTCACCTTCCCTGCAGATTTTGTTCTGCTCAGGGCAGCCCTGGAAGCCTGGTGAGGATCTGAAGGTCATGTTAAAAACCCTGGAAAACACAGTTTAGGTTTAATGGAATGCAGTGCTAGACCTGGTTGAGTCAGTGATTTCAGAGATCTTTTCCAGCCTGAATTTTCCTGTGATTCCCTGACACGAGGGCAGCGCTGAGGTCCTCTCTCCTCTTCAGGAATGTCTACCTGGAACATCTCACCAGGGGGGAATACCCTGGATTAAAAATCAGAGGGAACAGGTCAACATCACAGAATCCCAGAATCCCTGAGGCTGGAAAAGACCTCTGGGATCATCAAGTCCAAGCTTGGACAAGCAGGGACATCAAGTCCAATCCCCACCTTGTCCCCAACCCAGAGCCCTGAGTGCCACCTCCAGCCTTTCCGTGGACACCCCCGGGGATGGGCACTCCAAACCTCCCTGGACACTTCCAGGGCCACCCTTTCCATGGGGAAATTCCTGCTGCTGCCCACCCTGAGCCTCCCCTGGCCCATCCTGAGGCCGTTCCCTCTCCTCCTGTCCCTGTTCCCTGGGATAAGATCCCAAATCCCCCCCGGCTGTCCCCTCCTGGCAGGGAGTTGTGCAGAGCCAGAAATTCCCCCTGATCCCCCTTTTCTCCAGACTAAACAACCCCAAACAACGACATGTTTGAGCTCAGCTCTGCTGCCAGCTCCTGCACCTTATTGCAGACCCTGCCCATGACAAGTTCTGGCTTCAGAACCTTTTCATCCCCCAAATTCTTCCCTTGCCGGTGTTACTTCAAGTTTCATCAGCAAAGGCTGAGCCTCGGGGACCTCTGGGCGTTTCCTGCCAGCTGTGCCCCTCTTTGCAGCACCTTGGGGAACGTGGCTGCATCCTGCTCCTCTCCTGCTGCTGCTCACCTTGTTTACCTGAGCCTAACAACTCCCCACAGGTACGCAAGTACAAGAGCACCATCCTGGAAGACCTGGAATCGGCGCTGGCCGAGCACGCTCCGGCCCCTCAGGAGGTCAACTCGGAGCTGCCTCCCCTCACCATCGATGGCATCCCCGTCTCCGTGGACAAGATGACCCAGGTGAGCAGCAGAGGCAGGGGACAAGAGAGGGAATGTTTGGCATCTCAAAGTCACATCCCGTTTTTTTTTGTGTGTGTGGCTTCTCTCCAGGGGATGGCTCCGATCTCCTCCTTCCCCTGGGGCTGTGACAGCTCAGGCTGTGGTTGGATGTGGAGCTTTGCTAGTGGTGCTGATTTGCTGATTTTCTCCGTGGAAAGAGGAGATGTCAGGCTGCTGGGAGCATCCCAGAAAGTGGGAACAGGGAAAATGTTTGTTCCAGGCTTTAGGAACAATCTTTAGGCACCGAGGTTGGGACACACCTTTCTGTGTCCTGTAGTTCATTCCCTCCTCTGTTTCTTGCTGTGGGTTGGAGCAGAGGGGAGTTTGCCAAAGTTTTAACCCCAGATCAGACCCTGAGCGAGATACTTTTGTTGGAGACAGGGAATTACCTGCCCTGGGCACGTGGGAATTCCCTTTCTCTCCAGGTCCAGCCCCTTGCTGACCTCACTGCTGGGAGAAAGTGCCGGGGACTCCCCAGGGAAACTTCATCTGCAGGGAAATCTCCTTCCCCAGGGATGCAGGACCTGAATTCAGGCAGGTGTGTCCTGCAGGAGGCTCTGGGTACACCCAGCCTGAGGCACCACAACACATTTCAAATGCTGAAAGGCAATTTTTTCCCGAGGGAGCAGCGAGATGGAAAGTGCAGCACACAAAATGGTGTTGGAGCAGGGCAAAGATGTGCAGGTTTTTTCTGTGCTCTGCAGAGGTCACACCCTGCTCAAAACACCATTTCTTAGTGGAATCAGACAAGCTCACACTCATAATAAAATTTTATTGAGCTCACCGTGCTTTGGCTGGTCCAGGTCATTTTCCCAATCCCTGACAAATAAGACAAAAATGATTTCTTGGATTTTTAAACTCCTGTGAAAGGTGGCACCTGCAGGAGCAGCTTTTGTACCATGGAAATGTTTTTTCTCCTCCTTGTCCTTTGCTCAGCCAGCCCAAAGTGCTGATGTAGAACCTCTGATTTCAAATCCTCTCCTGCTGCTTTATGGTAGAAAAACAAAGATCTTTTTTAGGAATGGCCCTCATCATTCCAGCACAGTGAGGTAGCTCAGAAGAGCTTTGTGGAAAGGTTTCTCCTGAGCTGTGCACAGAGGTGCCATCATTTATTGTGGAAATTTTGATTCCCAGAGCTTCCAGTATAATTATTTGTATTTTCTACAAAAAAAAAAAAAATCAGCTTTTTTTTTGCAACTAAGTTGCACAAAACCCTGCTTAAAACTAGAACAAAAATAAATATAAATATAATTAAGATGGCAGGGACTGGAAAAATGAGGCCTCAGCTTTCAGCAGGTGCAAGCAGGCAGGTGTAGAGGTGTCATCAGTGAGGAGGTGAAAATAACTCTCCTTTTAATTGCTCTGCTTCCCCAGTGGTCTGGAGGGAAATAAAGCCTTGATTTGCCTGGGCAAAGATTTTCTCTAACCTTGGGCTGGGCAGGAAAACCTGTGTTGCAGTGGGATTTTCAGCCTTCACAGGGGGGGAATCTTGGTGTTTTCTGGACTTTGGTGACAGCTGAGTTTGCCCCTCAACTCGTTCTCTGTTGCTCGTTGATGTGACTGAGGAGTAAAATTGGGTAATCTGAGTTTAACCAAGCAGAGTTCAGTGCTTCAGTCAGCTCTCACTGTGATTTGTCCTTTAATCTGACTTCTTTTGTTTTTTTAAGCCCCCATGATTTATTTATTTACTTATTTATTTATTTTACTTATTGCAGGAGGTAGTAAAAGTTTTTCTGGGCCTCTCAAAAATCGTGGTGGTGCCCGTTCAGCTCCTGCCAGCTTCTCTCCTGCTCTCCCAGCTGGGCCTGGTTGTGCTTTGGGCTGCTGCATTTGGGAATGGGATAGCTGAGTACCATTAATTCTTGAATTTAACGTGAAAAGTTAAAACTCTGAGTGTTTTAACTGTGTGAAAGGGTGGCAAAGAAACATTTCTCACACCTTCTCCCAAATCCTCCATCCTCGAGCTCACCTGAGCCCTTCCCAAACTGCCAAGGGAACAAAATGGAAGGTGCTGCTGGATTTCTTTTTCAGCACATATTTGATTTTTGGATGTTGGTGTCAGCAGAACGGTGGCTGAATGTTCCCACCTGAGGGATGTGGGGGACATTACCTGTGGCAGAGCCCCCTGGGCTCGTTAGGGCACTAATTAGCCAAGTCCTCTCTCCCTGACAGCGCTGCTGATTGCCTCCCCCGTGGATTAAAGACAAACCCTCCTTAACAAGTACCTTGAGTAGCTTGAGCCCTCAGCTCCCATGGACCAGTAATTGATCCAGCTGGAAACAAGGAGCATTGCTGATGAGGAAAGGAGATTTTAACTGTTTTTGCACCAAGCAACTCAAAAAAAAAACCCCAAAAATAAAAAAAACCCCAACTGCTGCTACCAGGTTTATTTGAATAAATTATTGGGCAGAGTTACTGCTAAATAATAAATCCTTGGGAGTGAACTCCCTGCCTTTTGCAGCTCCATTCTGGTTTTTCCTCCTTCCTCACTCAGAATTGAATAAACCCCTGTTTATTGCAGTGTTTCTGGAGGATAAATTCTTTCGTCCCTTGGACTACGAGCAATGTATTTCTAAAGAAACTGCTCTGTGGAGGAATTATTTCTCCTCCCTTCACCAGGTTTCAGCCGGGGAACCTGGAGCATGTCAGGGTGAGTGTGGGCCCTGCAGTGGAAGGTGGATCACGGACAGGATGGCAAAAAGGTGCTTTGCTGCGTATTCCATGTGTAATGTGGGAAAAGCAGCTTGAAATGAGTTCAGGGATCAATGGATGCAACATCCTGCCTCTGTCCGGAGAGGGGAACAGAGCTGGGGATGCTGGAGCACCGGGAGAAGGGTCTGGAGAATTCCTGAGGGAGCTGGGAAAGGGCTGGAGAATTCCTGAGGGAGCTGGGAAAGGGCTGGAGAATTCCTGAGGGAGCTGGGAAGGGTCTGGAGAATTCCTGAGGGAGATGGGAAGGGGCTGGAGAATTCCTGAGGGAGATGGGAAGGGGCTGGAGAATTCCTGAGGGAGATGGGAAGGGGGATAGAGAATTCCTGAGGGAGATGGGAAGGGGCTCATCCCAGAGAAAAGGGGGATCAGGGGGAATTTCTGGCTCTGCACAACTCCCTGCCAGGAGGGGACAGCCGGGGGGGATTTGGGATCTTATCCCAGGGAACAGGGACAGGAGGAGAGGGAACGGCCTCAGGATGGGCCAGGGGAGCCTCAGAATGGATTTTAGGGAAAATTCCTCCATGGAAAGGGGGGTCAGGCACTGGAAATGCCCAGGGCAGGGGCAAGTGCCCATTCCTGGAGGGATTTCCAAGCCCTGTGGATGTGACACTTGGGGACAAAGTGGAGCAGGGGTGGCCTTGGCAGTGCTGGGGAGCTTAAAGGTCTTTTCCAACCAAAATGACTCCATGATTCTATGAAATAATTTACCCTAAAAGCTCTGAAGGGATGAAGGGAGCTGCTCCTAAATGCAGTTTTTAAGCTCTAAACATAATTTCCTCTGACATAAGGAGAGCTCTCCCCTTCCTGCTCTGCTCTGCAGCTGAACCAGCCTTTTCCTGCTGCTCCAAGGAGTCCCAGGTACAAAAAACAATCTTGTCACAAGACCCTGTGTGAGTTCTGCATTTCTTTTGGCATCACAGGGCTGCAGAAGTGTCAGATGCTTTCCACATTTCAGCAGCCACTGAAGCTCCATCCCCTTGCAGCATCTCTGTAAAAGATACATCAGCTCACGGCCGAGTTCCTGCCACTGTAGGGACACAGAGTGTGGGGTTTTTAATGGGTTACTGTGATTTATTTGGGGTTTTTTTTTCCCATTTCAGGCTGGTTTATTCTCTTCCTGGTAGTGATTGCATTGTGAAGTGTCAATACTGTGGGTGTTTGTGCCTCGGCGTTGGAATTTTGTGTTGGCTTTAATTTTGCTTTCCTTTGATTGTTAATTTAATTTACTTTAAATGTTTAGTTTAACTTTGTTTCCTCTCTTCCACCTGCTGCCAAGCTGAGTCTTGGGAGAAACTGGCAAAGCATTATCCACCTTCCTTGGGCGTTCAGGCCTCTTCCAACGACAATGGCTCCAACAGGATGGAAGCTGAACAAAATAATTCCATCCAATGCAGCTCAAAACTACCAGAGATGTGAATTCCTAAACGCCTCTCAACCTTTTTTTTGTTCCAGGCACAGCTGAGAGCCTTCATCCCCGAGATGCTGAAGTATTCCACGGGTCGTGGGAAGCCAGGCTGGGGCAAGGAGAGCTGCAAGCCCATCTGGTGGCCCGAGGACATTCCGTGGGCCAACGTCCGCAGCGACGTCCGCACGGAGGAGCAGAAGCAGCGGGTGGGTGTCTCCCTGCCTGCCTCCAAAAGGAGCACAGGGCTGAGTTTGCCCCTCAACTTTGGTTTTTGGGAGCGGTTTTTGCCTCGAGGGACAGAAGGAAGAGTCTGTGTGAAGGAGGGAAGGGATGCTGTCCTGCTCAGAGGTTTCCTTAAAGCTTTGTGCTTTAGGGAAAAGAGTCGTGGATGTGCAGTGGAGAAATGAGAGAACTGGGTGGAAAGGTCTTGAGTAAAGTTTCTAGCAACGTGTCACAGAGATAATGAAAGAATAGTCCATGGTGTGGAGGCAGCAGGGCTTGTGGAGGCTGGTTGGGTGGGGAGGCTGGAAACGGTGCTGTGGCAGCATTTTTGTGCTTTCCCAAATCACCGTGGTTTTCTGCTTGGACTCACTGAATGCTTTGGGTTGGAAGGGCCCTTTTAAAGGTCTTCTCATCCAAGCCCTGCACTGAGCTGGAACATCTCCACTGGATCAGGGTGAGCTCCCTGGGTGTCATTCTAATTAGGAACGGCGAAAAGAATGACACAGACTCTCAAGGAGTCAGAACAGGAGAAATCCCCTAGTTTATTGCTTTAGCCTTGTTATATAGACTAGTTCATGGAAAATACAGAAAGGAAGCTCTTATTGGTTAGTTAACTGCTACATCACCATCATTGGTCAGTGGTGTGCACCACCTCCTGACTTTCTCCTGCAAGGAAAACAAGAGGACAGACAAACAGCACCTGGCAGTTGTTTTCTGTCTCTGAGGATTGTTTTGAAATCCTCCTATGAATTTGTCAGGCTAGCTCCCAGGCAGGACTGAGAAGCCATGGGGCCTGCAGCTTGCTCCAAAGCTAGCATCCATACCTGGGGAAAGGAGGGGATGAGCAGAGGGAGATTAAATCTCAGGGTTGTTCGTTTGCCGATTGTTGCAAACCACCCCACAAATGAAAGACAAAACATGCAAATCCTGGCCTTGTGCTGGTTCAGAACACTCTCCTGGGCTGACTGTCCCCTGTTCCCTCCTGCTGGAAGGTCTCCTGGACCCAGGCCCTGCGGACCATCGTGAAGAACTGCTACAAGCAGCACGGGCGCGAGGACCTGCTCTACGCCTTCGAGGACCAGCAGACCCCGCAGACCACCACCACGCACAGCATCGCCCACCTGGTGCCCTCCCAGACCGTGGTACAAACCTTCAGCAACCCCGACGGCACCGTGTCCCTCATCCAGGTGAGAGGAACCCCCTGGATTTCCCATTTCCAGCCTCAGGGTTTAAGGAAACTCGGGAGCTAAACTTTGACCTTGGGGAATTTTGTCTTTATCACATCTTACCCCACAACGAAGATCCGTCCTCATCCTCTCTCTTCTCAGCTCCCACCGTTTGTTCTCCTTTGTTTCACCCTTTGTTTGTGCAAGGATTTCTGTGATGTGATCAAACAATTCAGGGATTTGACCTGAGTTTAGTGAACCTACTCAGAACAAATCCAGTCCCTGGTGCCACCACGCAACACCTGTGGTGGCAATGGGAGGAGAGGTGGTGGAACTGCCTTCCTTTAATGGTATGAAAAGTAGTTTAATCGTCAGATCAGGTATTTCTGTGACCCTGGTCTTCATCTGAAGTGTATTATATTTATTACAAACACCAAATTCATGTTTGTCCTCATGGAATAAGGATTCCTCTCACACTGTTCTTAGCTCAGTGCTGCTGCTGGTTTTTCCCCTGTGTGGAAAGGCAGATTCTGGCAGCTCAGGATGTTAGAAAAAAATTAGGTTTCCTCTTGAAACTTCCCACAAGCTCCTCGTGGGAGTGAGATTTGAATCTCAGTTTTCCCTGTGCCTCCAAACCTGGTGGTTCTTAACCAGGCCCAGCATTTTGTCCCTCATTTTCAGTCAAGTCTCAGACATAATGAAGATAAAAACTGTTTTTTTTCCCCAAATGAAGCTTTTCAGTGGCTGTTAGAGTTTTCTGTTCCCCACCAAAGCCCAGCAGACTTGCCAGGCTGGTTCTCTTTGCTCACCTGTCCATACAATCTCCCTTTGACTGCTGTCCTTTCAGCTGCTGGACACCTGAGATCCCATTGACTTCCTGGCATTTCTATTTCATTCTCCTCAGACACAAAGCTGCCCATCTCCCTGCCTTTGTCCTTTCCCAGCTGTTAAATGGGGAAAAGATCATTTCCAAAGGGGAATTGAGGATGAGCTCTTCTTTGCCAGGTGCCTGGAGATGAGACCCAGGGAGCAAGGAGGGTGTGCAGGAAATTCTGAGCCAATGCTGGGAGGGTGGGAGAAGGGAATTAATGCTTAAAGGACCTTAAAGATCCTCTTATTGCCATGGCAGGGACAATTTCCACATCCCAGGGTGCTCCAAGCCCTGTCCAGCCCAGCTTTGGACACTTCCAGGGATCCAAGGAATGGATTCCAGGGAATGAGGAGCAAGGAGGGTGTGCAGGGAATTCTGAGCCAGTTCTGGAAGGATGGGAGAAAGGAATTGACTCCTCCATGCTCCCACAGCTGCTTTTCCTGAGGCTGGGAGATCTCTGAGGCCTTCATGGACACAGGGACAGCACGAGGGATGTGCAAAACTTGGTTCCAGTCTGGAAACTTCCACGGATTAACGTGGATTTCCTCTCCCTTGGGAACAGCTCCGTGTTTTCTGTGAGCTCTGGAATTACAATTAGTCACAGAATCGTGGAATTTGAGGGGCTGGAAAGGACCTTGAAGATCCTCTCATTGCCATGGCAGGGACAATTTCCACCATCCCAGGGTGCTCCAAACCCTGTCCAACCCGGCCTTGGACACTTCCAGGGATCCAAGGAATGGATTCCAGGGAATGGAGAGCAAGGAGAGTGTGCAGGGAATTCTGAACCAATTCTGGGAGGGTGGAAGAAGACCTTAAAGATCCTCTCATTGCCATGGCAGGGACAATTTCCACATCCCAGGTTGCTCCAAACCCTGTCCAACCTGGCCTTGGACACTTCCAAGGATCCAGGGACAACCAAAACCAACTTCTCCAACATCTTACCACTCTCACCATAAATTCCTTTATTATTTTCCATCTGAGATCCCCTTTCCCTGAGCTCTGTGGACATTTCCTGAGGTAACAGATGCTGTTTTGTGCTGTTTTGTCCTCCACAGGTTGGCACCGGTGCCACGGTGGCCACACTGGCCGACGCCTCCGAGCTGCCCACCACGGTCACCGTGGCGCAAGTCAATTATTCTGCGGTGGCTGACGGAGAGGTGAGGAGCTGAACTTCCTTCCATATCTCAAACTTGCATTTATTTTTCCCCCTTTTCTTTTTTTAAAAAAACCAAATCATTCAAATTTAATAATCCCATATTTTTTTTGGCATTTCCATGCTTAAATCTGAACGCTCAACATTTATTTTTTCCTTTTTTTTTTAATCAAATAATTCAAATTCAATAATCCAAAGTAAGTCAAAGGACTGAATTTCATAATATATTTTTTTTATATATGTACTTTCTGTAGATTATTTATTTAAGGTTTGGAGGGGTTTTTTTGGCATTTCCATGCTTAAATCTGAATGCTCAAACTTGCAAACATTTCTTTTTCCCCTTTTTTTAAGAAAAATCAAATAATTCAAATTCAATAATCCAAAATAAATCAAAGGTCTGAATTTCATATATTTTTATATATATATACTTCCTGTAGATTATTTATTTAAGGATTCTTTTATTTTTCTTTTGACATTTCCGTACCTAAATCTGAATGTTCAAAATTTCAAACATTTATTTTTTCCCCTTTTTTAAGAAAAATCAAATAATTCAAATTCAATAATCCAAAATAAATCAAAGGTCTGAATTTCATATATTTTTATATATATATACTTCCTGTAGATTATTTATTTAAGGTTTCTTTTATTTTTCTTTTGACATTTCCGTACCTAAATCTGAATGTTCAAAATTTCAAACATTTATTTTTTCCCCTTTTTTAAAAAAAAAAAAAAATCAAACAATTCAAATTCAAATAATCCAAAATAAATTAAATGTCTGCATCTCATATTTTTTTATATATGTACCTCCTGTAGATTATTTATTTAAGGTTTTCTGGGGGGGGCATTTCCATGCCTAAACCTAAACACTCAAACATTTATTTATAAATTTTTATAATTTTATAAAAATTTAATTTTTATAATAATATAATTTTATAAAAATATATTTTAATTAAAATATATTTTTATAAATGAATAGATATTTTATATAAAATATATATAAAATATATTTTATTAAAAATTATATATATATATATATATATATATATATATATATATATACATATATATTTTAAAATCAAATAATACACAAAAAAAAAACATAATTCCTTCCGTGGGGTGTAAGAAACATTAAAATACTCCCTTAAAACGCTATTTCTTATTTTTATTTTCCTGTCCTGGGCTGTCAGGGCGAGAGGTGGCAGCACAGAACAGCTTTGCTGGCCACAAACCCTGACCAAAACATCTCCCCGTGACCTTGGGACGCTCTGCGGCAGCTTCCAGCCTTTACAGGAACCTCTTCCATCTCCTGGCAGCCGCAGGAAATCTTCCAAAAAGCACAAAAAAGTTGGAAGGGGTTGGTGGAAAGAAGATTTGAGGTGGTTTTACACCCTCTCAGCTTCTTTTCCTTCTTTCCTCGCTCCATCCCCTGTCCTGGAATTCCTTGGACACCTTTGCAGGGCATCACCAGGATCTCTCATATCCAGATTCTCCCTCCCTCCCTCTCCATCCTCTATCCAAAATCAGCAAAATTTTACCCTGAGCCTTCAGTCAGCTCTGATTTTATGGACTTTTTAACCTTTTCCATCCCAACAAATCGAGGTGTTTGGGTTTTTTTTATTTCATCACCCCCTTCACAGCATTTTTATTTGTGTGTCTCAGAAGTTCAGAGCGTCCTAAAATGTTTATGGGGATGGGGGGTGGAGTTTTTTCACCTCTCAAAGCAGCCAGTGGGATTTGTCAGCAGATCCTCTGCTTTTTTTTTTTTAATTTTTGGTCCAAAATTATGTTTTTAGTTCTCATCCTGGAGGATTTTGTGGCTGTATAATCATTATCTCACAAGCTGTGAAGCTCCACATGAAAAATATGGGGGGAAAAATGAGAATCTGGGTGATTTAGGTGATATAATTATATTATAATTATTACATATATTATAAGATCCTATTATTTTATATTATAATACAATATATAATATATATAATATATAAAACATAATAATAAATATAATATATTGTATATAATATCATATATAATATATTATATAATATAAGATGTAATATAATATAATATAAATAATATAAATAATATAATATATAATATATAATGTATTATATATAATAAATATAATATATAATATAAGATATTGTATATAATGTAATATATATAATATAATATAATATAACATTTAGGTAATATGAAAATTATCTCTGGGAAGGTCTGGAGTTAGGGAATTTTAAATATCTGGGATAAACGAACATTTCTGGGTTTTTGAGGACTTTTCTGGATCTTTATGCACTGTGAGCTGTGGTGTCCAGCCACATCCTCAGGTGGATCCCAGCCTCCCTCCTTTTTTTCCCGGTCACCTGCAGGACTCTGCCAAAACCCACCCATCTCTTTCTTTTTGGGAAGCAGCCACGCCTTGAGGGGGTGATGGCTGATTACAGAATCAGAGAATCAGGGAATCACAGAATCAGAGAATCACAGAATCAGAGAATCACAGAATCAGAGAATCACAGAATCAGAGAATCAGAGAATCAGAGAATCACAGAATCAGGGAATCACAGAATCACAGAATCAGGGAATCAGAGAATCAGGGAATCACAGAATCAGAGAATCAGGGAATCACAGAATCACAGAATCACAGAATCACGGAATCAGGGAATCAGGGAATCAGAGAATCAGAGAATCACAGAATCAGAGAATCAGAGAACCAGGTAATCAGAGAATCAGGGAATCAGAGAATCACAGAATCACAGAATCAGGGAATCACAGAATCACAGAATCAAGGAATCACAGAATCACAGAATCACAGAATCAGGGAATCACAGAATCACGGAATCAGAGAATCACAGAATCACAGAATCAGAGAATCAGAGAATCAGGGAATCACAGAATCACAGAATCACAGAATCAGAGAATCAGGGAATCACAGAATCAGAGAATCAGGGAATCACAGAATCAGAGAATCAGGGAATCACAGCTTCACAGAATCACAGAATCACAGAATCTCTGGGTTGGAAAAGAGCTCCAAAATCATCGAGTCCGACCCAGCCCCAACCCCTCAACCAAACCACGGCACCCAGTGCCACATCCAGGCTTTTTTAAACACATCCAGGGGTGGTGACTCCACCACCTCCCCAGACAGAAAATTCCACTTTTTTATCACTCTTTCTGTAAATTTCTGTATGTTTTTCCTAATATCCAACCTAAATTTCCTTGGTGCAGCTTGAGGCTGTGTCCTCTTGCTGTTTTCTGGAGAAAGAGCCCGACCCCAGCTGACCCCAAGCTCCTTCCAGGGAGTTTAGAGAGCGCCAAGGTCACCTCTGAGTCTCCTTTTCTCCAGGATAATCAACCCCAGCTCCCTCAGCCGTTCCTCACAGGTCTTCACCAGACCCTTCACCAGCCTCGCTGCCTCCTCTGGACGCTCTCAGACCTTGGGACATCCTTCCCAACCCCATCCCACAGCCTTTCCCTGTGTTTCCCTGGCAGGTGGAGCAGAACTGGGCGACGCTACAGGGTGGGGAGATGACGATCCAGACGACGCAGGCCTCCGAGGCCACGCAGGCGGTGGCCTCCTTAGCGGAGGCGGCGGTGGCGGCGTCGCAGGAGATGCAGCAGGGAGCCACTGTCACCATGGCACTCAACAGGTACCTGCCATCTCCTGGTTTCCTCCTGAGGGTGCAGAGTTTGCTCTGTACGCTCCTGAGAGAGGCTTTTCCTCAGCGAATTCTTTGTGTGCTCCTGATTCCGGCTCAGAATCGGGATTTCCTCCACAGATCGCTGGGTTTGGGTGGGTTTTTTATGCCCCAAAATCTTTCTGAGCTGCAGTGGTTATTGGGGTTTTTGGCTGCACTCGGGTTAGCAAGATCTGAGGTGTAGCTGCACAGGTTCATCCAGCAGGATAAAATATCTTTTCTCAGCAATATTGAACTGCCTGAACTCATCCTGCTGTTCCAAAAAGCTGGAGATGGCTGTGGCACTCCCTGAGGGATAGGAAATCACAGCTCAGCCACTGCTGAGGTGTGGACAAGAATTTCCCTCATCCAAGCCAGGATCCTGGTTAGAGGCTGTTGGCTGAGCCAGGGGATGGGACACAGGGCACGACACCACACTGCTGGCGCTTGGAATAAAGCTCAGAAATTGCTGAAGGAATCACTCTGATCCCACTTTGTTCCCAAATCTCCGTTGGGATTAATCCCAAACACACCTAGAACAGTGTAGTTCTTTGGGTCCTTCAGGTATTTCTTGTCTGCTACATGAGGTTGGTCAAATTTTCTTTGCAAATAGTTTCCCTGTAAAATTCCCTTTTAAAATCCTTTCAGGACACTGGAGTCACAGGAAAAAGCCCCACCTCCCCAAATCCAACTTGCAGGATTTTATCCTGCCCATTTCCAGGATTCCAGATTTCCCTACATGGATTTCCTTTGGAAGTGGGAAGGGAAAATGCCTTCCCAGAGCTCCAGGCTCAGGATGAGCCAAGGGGAGCGGAGAAGCTAAAGGAAAATATTCTGTTTTTCTACGAGTGTTTAAGAGCTGCTCTGAGACACAGAGGGGCTGTTCAGAACTGAAAATCCACCCCGAGTGGATGCAGGAGGAAAATGTTTGGCATCTGAGCAAGAAATGAGGGAAGAGAAGGGAAATATGGGAAAATGGAAAATATTTGAGCAGAGAATGAGCAGAGGGAGAGCATCCACGGGGAAGCTAAAGGAAATCCTACTTTTCTTGTGCTTAATTGAGGTAGGAATTGATAGGAAATGCGACTTCAGAAATGTTTTACCACTGCTGAGCAGATATTGTCAAAATAAATTGGATATTGGGAATGATAAGGGAAGGCATTAAGGGCAAGCTTAATAACTGGAATAACTGATGGTGCATTCACATCTTGGATGGTGTGGGAAGTGCCCACCACTCAAATAGAAAAAGTCTGGAAAGGACAAGAGTGATGAAAGCCCCAGGAATGATCCATGCCACAGTGGGAAGGAGATCATTGGAAATGTGTAAAATCATGGGGAAAACAAAAAAAAGGAAAAGTTTTATTTCCTGTTTCTCACAATTTCAGACTAAAGGGCCGTCCAGCCAGTTTTTGAAGTGCCATAATGCAATTTTTCCTTCTAATTAAATGTGGAACCCTTTGCTCCAGGATGCTGGGGAAGCAAAAAGAGTAGATGGGTTTCAAAGGGGATCAGAGACAGATCAGAGGAACCTGGACAGTCCCAGCCTCTTTTTTCCTTACTCCATCTCTGTTCTGAAGCTCCTTGAGCACCTTTGCAGGGCTTTTGGGACTGTTTGAAGAAATTTAACAGCTCTCTGCTGCAGATAATGCTCATCCAGAAGAATTCTGGAACCACTTGGCTGGGGAGGAGTTGAAGGCAGAGCTGGTGATGCTGCTCGTGGCAGCGGGGCGAGGTGAACTGGCAGAACCAAGAGAGAGCTCTGAAATCTGCAGAGCTCCAGGATGTGCCAAAAATCTGAATCCAGAGCCACGTGGAAGAACTGCTTGGATTGCCCCGAGGTTTTATCCAAGTCCCAGGTGAAAGGGAGAACACAGGGGTGTGTTCTAAGACACCTGCAAGCTGAAATAAAATCCACCAGAAGCAGCTTCTTCCCATCCATTCCTCCTCCAGTGCTGATTCCCTGCCCTGCATCGCTTTATCCAGGCCAGACACCAATCCCTCTGCTCTGGATTGTTCTCTTGGTTTGTGTTTGCTGGTTAAAATGGAATTCTTTGTTTCTTCTGGTGTTCCTAACCCTTCTCTCCCCTCTGCACGCCCGCAGTGAAGCCGCTGCCCACGCCGTAGCCACGCTGGCCGAGGCCACCCTCCAAGGAGGGGGACAGATTGTCCTGTCTGGGGAAACTGCAGCAGCGGTTGGGGCGCTCACCGGAGTCCAGGATGCCAATGGTAAGGCCTCTGCAGTTTTTATTTGGGTTTTTTTTCAATTTAGGCTCTTAAAAACAGCCTTTTCCTCTCTTTTTATTGAAATGTCACGGTTTGGGTGGTAAAATTCTCCTCCCTCGCTCAGGGGGTCGCTGGCCAGTTGTGAGTTATAATCTCAGGGTGGAATGGGAATATTAACTCCTTGTTTTCTCCCCTGGTGCTGGTGGCTCTGCTCTTTCCCTCCTCTGCCAGCTGGCTCTGTATCCTTAGTTTGGTTTTTTTTTTGGGAAAACTGCTCCGTGATGTGTGGCTGTGCCCAGCACAGGAAGGGCCAGCCTTGATCAATTAACACAATTAGTTGGTGCCATAATAAACTCATCTCCAGAACTCTTAAACCAATATTTTATTACTTATTTCCTGCCCTTCTCAAGTCTTTTTTTTTTTTTATGTGTTTGGTGGCTGCTCCTGAGGCAGCCTTTTCCTCCTGCTTCATTTTGCTCTTGATTCCAGGGATTCTCTGTAGCATTTCTCACCTGTTCTGTGCTTTCTGCCAAGTCTGGTGACTTTTGCAGTTCTCCAGACTAGAAATGAAACTGTAAATCTATAAAACCCAGCTGAAGAGATGAAAGGAATTATGAAAATGTGCCTCGCTGGGGTTCATCCGCTGCCTCTGGTTGCTCTGCGCTCCTGCCTGGAGGTGTTTAAGGAACACCTGAATGCCTTGGTGTTGGCTCATAGGTTGGACTCAGTGATCCCAGAGGTCTTTTCCAGCCCAACTCTGGGATAATTTCCAAGCTCAGACTGGATTTTATGGAATTACCCAAAAAAACCCACTGGTTATTTGGGTTAGGTGGAAGGAGTTGGGTCAAAATCATCCGGAAAAGGGCGCAAAAAGGTGAAGTTGTAAAGAAACATCACCTCGAGGGTGGTAAATTGTCAAAGAGGGGCCAAGTATCAGAAGTGTCACTTTGCAGGAAAGCAGAAACCTGCTCAGGTGAGAGCTGACTTCCATCAGAATCTTCATCCAGCCGGGAGCGCTCTCCGTGTGAGAGAGACGTCGATGTTTAGTTTGCAGCAGAGGAGGGAGGAGGAATTTGACTCAGAGCTGCTTTGATTCCCTTGCTGTGGAGTCAGCCAGCCTGAAGAGGGAGCAGAAATGAAGGGAAATCCGTGTCCTCAGAGCTGGGAATTCATCTGGCACCGAGGGAAGAGCAGGATTGTGTTTATTGTCAGGGCGATAAGTGCTGAGTGTTTATCGGGGGCAGGATCTGCCCCTGGATGCTCAAAACCAGCAGCTGATCAGATTTGGAGAAGCAGATCTGCACCCCTGGCTCCTTTTTGCTCTGCTTCCAAAATGTTTTCACTCTCTGGATTCCTCTGGATGCTTCCCCTAAAACTCCCCTTCTCCACACCCTCCCTGAGTCACTCCACCTCACTCTCCAAGCGCTGACATCATTTTAATACAGGCTGGACTTTGGGTTTTTTTTCCCTTTTTTCCTCCTTTTTTTTTTCCTAGCAGCCAGGTCGGAAATCAGATGGGATTTAGAGTGCATTAAGGGGAGAGACTGCAGCATTTTCCTGTGAGCAAAACCTCGCCCACAGCCCCTCGCCTGGTTTCCACTCTCCTTCGATTTGCTCTAATCTCCGGTGGTATTAAAGGGAAGGGCTTTGGAGTCCTTGGGAGCTCCATGCTGTTGGTTCCTTACGTAACCAGCTAATATATCTCCCTCAGGGATGGAGGAGATGTTGGTATCCATTGCTGCTGTCTCTTGTCTGGGGAGGGAGAGCAGATGGATTGCGCTGCCGGCAGGATTTATCTCCGAAGCCGGGGTGTGAGTGGGAGCGTCCTCCTTGATGGATGCAGCAGGAAAGATCCACTCTGCTCCTTTCTGTCCTGAGAAATTGGGAGTGATTCAGGGAAAAAAACAACTGCCAGGGGCAGAATGGTCCTAAGCAGGGGATTTCCCCTTCTCGCCGTTGCTTGCAAGGTGGTTAATTTGCTGATATTCCCAATAAGTGCTTCTCTCTGGGAATGCTCTTGCACTTCTGCAGGACTTTGCTGAGGAAAAACATCTGGAAGGGTAGGATGGAAGTTTATCTCCATCTGATTGATAAGGTAAAGGAGACAGTTTGACATCTCCCCATCCCTGGGAGTGTCCAAGGCCAGGTTTGGAAGGACCTGGGATAGTGGAAGGTGTCCCCATGGCAGGAAGGAGATGATCTTTAACTCATTTCCAACCCAAACCATCCCATGATTTCTCTGAAAATTTCTGGAGGTCAGGCAAGGTGTTTCATTCCTGATTTTAGCCATTAAGTGTAATTACTCTCTTTTATTTATTTGGGTTTTTTTTGTTGTTGTTTTTATGGCATTTTTCACATTCCCTCTCTGGAATTACCTAAATAATGATGATAACAATACAAGACAGCTCTAAAAAGAGGAAACCTCTGGATATTCATGGATATGTGGGAATCTAGGGCCAGATACCTTGCAGAGAGCCCAGGAACGTGTCTGCACCACAAAAGGGCTGTGGATAATCTTGTGATCTGTTCCATTCCCAGCTGAAGGAAACGAGATCTCCTGCTCCCATACAACATCAAACCAACTAAGTGCATTACGGTTTTCCTGCTCCTCTGGAGCATCTGCTCCGAGTGGGGACGCAGGAACTGCTGACCCCACGCTTGGAGGCTCAGATGGTTTTGTTCTTAAGTGGTTGGTATTGAACAGAGGAAGATGGAGAGCGAGGAGGGGCAGCAGCAATTCCCTGAAAATGCTGGGAATTGCTCTGCTAAGAGGAAATTCTGTGCCCTGGAGCTGCTTTTGGAGTGAGAGGAACTCAGTGGGCGTTGGAAGGAGCGGTGCTGGTGCTGGAGCATCCTCCTCCTCCTCCTTCTTCTCCTCCTCCTCCTCCTGCAGCCTTTTGTTTGCCATTGATCCGTGGGGGCCCTGAGAGCTGCCAGGGCTTCCCGGCTGCATCCTGAAATATTGATGAGGCTCCTGGCAGGGAGGGGCAGAGCAGCTCCCTGCCCAGGGAAGGTTTAACAGCCACCCCCAACAGAATCCCGGGGTTGTTTTGGAGGTGAGAGGAGTGGAAAGCTCCAGCTCCTGCTGGGATTCAAACCAGGGCGTGGAATGAGTGGAAAAAGTTGGGAAGGAAGAGGCTGTGGAGGTTGTGGGATCAAGCCATAACCAGGGAATTGATTTCACAGACAGGAGTCTGGCCCAGCCAGAGATCCAGAGGATTCTCTCTGGGAATGCTCCTACCCTTCTGCAGGACTTAAAAAACCTATCTGGAAGGGTAGGATGGAAGTTTATCTCCATCTTTTTGATAAGGTAAAGGGGATAGTTTGACATCTCCCCATCCCTGGGAGTGTCCAAGGCCAGGTTTGGAAGAACCTGGGATAGTGGAAGGTGTCCCCCACGGCAGGAAGGAGATGATCTTTAACTCATTTCCAACCCAAACCATTCCATGATTTCTCTGAAAATTTCTGGAGGTCAGGCAAGGTGTTTCATTCCTGATTTTAACCATTAAGTGTTAATTACTCTCTGGGGGACTCTCTGGGACTGGGACAAGGCCTTGGCTGTTCTTTTCCTGTCCCCAAAGCAGATTTTCCTGCTGGAGACACTCCTGGGAGCACAAAGGGGAACACTGAGAGGAGCCCACCCCAAGCCCTGCCCTTCTCCATCCCCCCTACCATCCCAAAAATCCAATCCCTGCTCTCCAGACAACCAGAGGGGGCTGTGTTGAGGGCTGGGGTGAGCCAGGAACTGTGCTGGGAGCCCGGGCAGGGCTTTAGGGTCTGACGTGGGCAGCGGGGATTAACGAGCTCCCTGCTTTCGCAAGCCCCGGGAAGGAGGCGTCAGCACCCGAGTGGATAAAGGAGCCTCCAGCAGAGTTTGGGGTGACAGTGCCACACAGAACTGCTGCTCCAGGTGGTGATTTCGGTGTGGGAAGAGGTTTAAATGCTGGAAAAAGCTTCAGTTCTGGACCAGGCTGAAGTGGGAAGCTGTCCCCACTCTCGGCCGTGCAGATGGGGAATGGGAACGCTCCTCTCTCTCCTCCTGGACCTGCTGCTTGCAGTTGAAAACACATCCAGGAGGGAAAGGCAGGACTGGGATGCTGTTCCCTGTCCTGTGTGTGTCTCCCAGAGAGCACCAACACAGATGGGAAAACCCAGGGTTTGGGATCCCTGTCCTGGCTTTGGGATTCCTCGGGATGGGGAGGTGCAGCGCCGAGCCACTGGGAGCTGGTGGCTTTGTTCACATGAGGAAAATATTAATAAATTTAATGGGGGGAGGCATAGGGGATGCAAATGTCACCTCTTAAAAAAGCAGAATTTTATGTTTTTTCCTGTTGGATCTCCTTTTTTAGGGAAGATGGAGCCAAATGAGTCACTAGCAGCTTGGCAAAGTGCAGATCAGCACGTTTGCATCCAGGAGGACAGGAAGGAAAGAGTCAAGCTTTTTGTAGGGCCTCCTCCCTGGTGGGAACAGAATTTTTTAATGAAGGTTTACCCTGAAACAGGTAGGATTTAATCCCAAACTGAAGGCAAGGTGAGGAAAAAATCATTTTTTCAGGTGTGTTTCAGATGAGAGGGCGGAAGAGATGTCAGTGGCAGCCAGCAAGGAGAGCAGAAGAGAGAATTCCTGGGTTTGCTGAGCAGCTCCAGGAACAGGGAGAGGTGTTCCCTAGAGGACAAATTGCTGTGTATCAGTGAATAATTATCAGCAATGGAGCTGTTGGGCTCTGAGTGAAATACCTTGGCATGAAAATCAGTGAAAAGGAGCTCAGTCTGTGTGGGGTCGGGGTCTCGAGCGACAGGACCAGAGGAAACGGCCTCAAATTGCATCAGGGGAGGTTTAGGATATTAGGAAAAAAATTCCTCATGGGAAGGCACTGAAATTCCTGACTTGTCAGGCATTGGAGCAGGGCAGGACAGTCCCCATCCCTGGGGGGGGATTTCAAATCCATGTGGATGTGGCACTTGGGGACATGGGGTGGGGACAGGAGGAGAGGGAACGGCCT